AAAAAAAAAAAAAAAAAGAAAGAAAATCTTTATAAAAAAAAAAAATAGAAATCCTGTTTCCTTTGACAAATATTCTACAAATCCATAATAAGTTTGTTGTTTCTCCTAATCCCTCATAGGGCGAGTGTCAAAGTGGTACACTCAGCCCTGACCCCACAGCCCACATCCATGGCACACAAAAAGAGTAAAGGCTTAGGGCTTTTTCAGGTATTTACCATTTTGTGTAACCTGTAATCACTGAACATGCACAAACAAACACGTTCAAATTCAGGTCTTGACTGAATGCCTAACATTTTCTTTTACAAGTATGTTTCGTTCTCTAGAGCTGCCAAGTCACCTCCTATCAGAGACACTGTACAGATATTATTTACATATATGTGTGTGTGTTTATGTATATATATGTATATATATACACATATATATATATATACGCACATATATATATATACACACACGTATATATACGTATATACATATGTCAGTTGACTCTATTCAGCACTTAGTGAATGTTGATTATGGCTTAAGCAAAGCAGGATCTATTTCATTTGTTGAGAACAAATGACCATACTCTGGTTCAGCATGTACAAAGCTGTTGGTTTATTCAGCTGCAAAGCTGGGGAAAGGCTTCCTTTTGGAGTGAATAGCAAAAATGCTTCATGAGCAAGGCACTTTTATGTACACACATGGGAAAGGAACATATTATGGTTACATAAACATCAATATCTTTTAATTTTCAGACCTCCCTACCTCTTCCCACCTCCCCCTTAAAAAAAAAACAAAAACAAAAAACAGGTTCTTATAACATTTTAAAAACCCAGTTTCACAGAACATGTACACAGAACAGTTTCTGATACATTCAGTTACACTAACAGTATATGTTTCAATTCAGTAATTTTCCACTAACAGATAGTTTTTCTACCTACTGCAGTTCCCTCCCTTTTCCTTAAGACAACTAAGGCTCAGCAGAAATACTCATTGGATTATAAACATTTTCCTCTCTCCTTAAAGTTGCTATACATGTACAGAATTTGTGATTCCATTAATGCTTCAGTGTTTTGATGCCATATCATATACAGCACTTAATTATGGAGAATCGGAAAAAGTAAAACTATAAGAGGATATAGGATATATTTTTAACAATCTATTTGCTGATTCCCTTCAGATGCCCAGTCAACCAGGGGCACACACTGGTTTCACTCTACTGTAGGTGTGTGAAAAGATTTAATGGTCTCATGCATTTTCTTTTATGTAGGATTTCTAGGTTTTAACTCATCTAATTAAATGCAGCAAGATTCATTTACAAGGGTACATACTCTTCCTTGTTCAGCTAGAAGAAAATCTAAAGCTAATCTATGCAGAAAAACAATGATGCTAAAAAACTGTAACTTCAGACTGTTACTAGGCTGAGATGTTCTGTAGTAGTGAAGTTCTTTAAAGTTAGAAAAATTTGCAATGGACGTAAACGGTGCATAAAGTACTGCTGGAACATTATATAGATGAAATATTTTAATTTACAAGCAGTTAATATTGAAAGCATAAATGCTCTTCATCTTTTCCCTGGCCTTTTCAAATGTGATCTGCTCTTAACTAAAGTCTGAATGCCAAGATACAGGAAACATCTTCCCTACAGAACAGGTGTCTGATTAGTCCCCAGTTACAATTTTTTTTGGCCTGGTGGGAGACTGTGATATAAAAGTTTATACTGTAATTGCAGGTAATATAATTGGTCTGAAGTAGTGTGGGCTAGGTTTGAAACTGCACTCCCTCCCCCCAAAATAGGAACTCTCAAGGGTGCCGTGTGCAGGACTATCTATATAAAAGCCAGGAGGTAAATCCATAGCCCCACCATTTTCTTTTGTCTAGGTATTCAATTTAATTCAACTATCTCATAGAAATTAGTGTTAGAAAAGAGTGTGCTCAGAAAGGTGTTATTGGGAGTAGCTAAGTCCCCACTTTCCCCACTGGCTGTTCTGAAGGTTAGGTAACAAAAGGGGTAGGGGTTCACTGCTTCTTCCTTCCCATTAGCAATGAGATATCTAGTTAAGAGTCCATTCAGATAGGAAGAATAAATTGGGGAGAGAACTGAGTGTGGACAACAGTCAATTTTTATAATATGGTCCCTTTTATCTAATTCTCTACTAAAGTTCTCATTTTAGCTACAGGGTCTATCAAAGGGGATGCTCACCATGCATTTTCTGCAGTTGAGTTATGGGACTACTGTACTTGGTAGGGCTTAAGGGCTTATTAGGACAGGGCATAGTTTGGCTGAGAAGGCATTAGTGTCTCAACTGTCGGGTGTGTGACTTTCTATGAGAGATATCAGAACAAATGGTGGACGTTTACAGTGATGCAGTTAGGAGTTTGTTAACTGCCTTTTGGAAGTCAGTGTAGGAGTAAGTAGTATTGATGGGTTCAGTTCGGGTTGTTTCCTTAACTGTTTTAGTTAACCAGCCACAGCAACAACCAGAAACACATGAATTAGGGATCTGTTTTAGGTATTCAGGTATGGGAGTGGCTCTACTCAACGTTCGGCTTAACTGTTTGGTGGCAAATTGCAGTGCTCCATTTAGAGTGGCATGATCTCTAGAAAGCCGGCTGGGATTTGTAAGGGGCTTTTGAAAAGGCGGGACTCCACAAGAAGCCAGAGGAGGCCATTCAGGAATTGGTTCCAGTTTGGGTACACAGTGGGAGCAATGAGAGAGTCTTAGACCTATCTCTCGAAGTATATGGACTGGTGTGCTTAGATCTAAGAGTTTAGCATGATATAACCAGGAATTAGGATTTAAAGGTTTCCAAGTTGTAGAGTATTTTAAAAGGCACTTAACCTGCCAGGCAAGACTCTCAAGAGGTGTCAGGTTGGGCACCACAGGGTCTTCTTCTTCAGAGGAATCCCACTCTTGCCCAGAACTCTCATTTAGGTAGTTAGCGTTTTCTTCTTCCTCACTTTCTGATTCTGATAAGGGGTCAGGAGAGGGATTCCTGGGACCCATTAGATTAGAACAGAGGAAGAAACCAGAAAAAGGTAACAATCTAAGCCAGCAAAATACTAAAACTATCAAACAGAAACAAAAGATGAAGAATCCTTCAACAAGATTAACTTGTCAGTCCATGATACACACACAGTATGCCTCTGGCTCCTATCACTGTGCAGTTCTTCAAGATTATGTTGTATATTCTTCACTTACAAAGAAGGTATCTCAGTTCTCAGGACCAGTTCAGTGTGTAAAAGTGTTAAGTCACTTACCAGTGGCACAGGTCAGAGTTTCTCCTTCAAACTGTGTCTACCCAAGAAGAGAAGGGGTCTTCCTCCAGGCAAGCTGACTTTCTTAGCGTGGTCTCAACTGGTTATGATACTGCGAGGAGACACTTTGTGTATTCTGTCTTGATGGCAGGGATATTATATCTACTTGGTAATGGAAAGAAACACAGTGGTTGCCTTTGTTGTCCGCTGGTGGAGCAAATTTTGTGGTGGGATGAGTTGTCAAGGACATCTGGTGTACTCGAATCTGATGTTTTCCGTAGGTGGCAAATGCCCTTGGAAACTGGTGACTTAGTTGAAATATCTGGAAAGGTAGCTTTAACCTGTGAATGAGAAGACTAGAGAAATGATATTAAAGTCTGAAAGCAATGGGTTATATTATTGTCTGTATCTAAGAACATGGATGCTGACCAAGAAGGTTTACTGAGCTTTCCCATCTTTATCTCCTAGTCTTAGGCAGATTTTTCTATTGGGAGAGACTGGGGTCATTTTAATCACTTATTGGTTAATATCTGGGTCAGTTTATTTTTTAGTATGCTGTTCTAGCCCAGAAAATTACTCCCGCAAAAGTAGTTCCTTTATGCTCCAAACTCGAAACTCCAGATAGAGAGCTATAAAAGGCGGTGGTACTGTTGTTGTTGCTGTTTTCCTTTAGATGGGTTTGTTGGGATTAGTTTTAGGGGACCTGTCTTGGTTACAGAGCTGTTAGACGTTAGGATTCTTGCTGGGACCCCAGAGGTTGTGGTCATATAACCATACTCAACAGATATGAGAGAAGATGGCAGGTGTAAATCTTAATATAGTAGGAATTACAATGAATGTAAACATGTTAAAATTCACAGTTAAAAAGACAGACATTCAGCCTGGATTAGAAAAACAAAATAAAATTCAATAACATGCAACTAACAAAAGATACTTCAAAGCAAAAAGACACAGAAAAGTAAAAAATAAAAGAATGAAAAAAGATGTATCAGGCAACTGTGGACCAAAATAAAGTTGAGATAGCAATCTTAATACCCATCAAAAAAAGATTTCAAGTCAAAAAACACAAGGGACAAATATAGACATTAATACCAGTGAAAGGAACAGCATAAAATTATATAGTACTCATCATAAACATATATGAGGTATATATGATCCTGAAAGCACAACCTCAAAATTTCTTAAGTAACAACTCATAGAACTGAGGGGGAAATATTAAGCAGGGATATAAGAAGCCTGAAAAAGTCAAAATATTAATATACGTTATTATTATATAAATATTCAGAACTCTATACCAAACAGAATAGATACTTGAGAGTGCACATACACACACATGAAAATAGATCATGTGTTAGGTTTAAAAGTGTAACTAAATTCCAAAGGGTCAATTTCATTCAGACTAAATTCTCTGACCAAAATGCAGTAAAGTAGATATTAAAGGTTAAAAGGAATCCTATGTTAGGAAGCTAAATACCTCATGGGTTAAAATGGAAATTACAAAAGATATTAAATATTAAAACTGACTGATATAAACCACACAGGGCAAAATTGTGGGACATGGCCAAACCAGTACCCAAAAGAAAGTTATAGCTTTAGGGGCACCTTGGGTGGCTCAGTAGGACAAGCAACTGACTCTTGATTTCAGCTCAGGTCATGAACTCACAGTTGTGAGATCGAGCCCCACATCAGGCTCTGCACTGGGTGTGGAGCCTGCTTGAGGTTCTCTCTTCCTCTGCCCCTCACCTACTTCTGTTTTCTCTCTCTCCCTTAAAAAAAAAAAAAAATTATAGCTTTGAATACACTGATGAGAAAAGAGGAAGTTTAAACACCTACAAGTTAAGCATTCAATTCAAAATAATGGAAAAGAGTAAGAGCAAAATAAGCAAGAAGGAAATAAAGTCAGAAATGCAACAGCATATAAGAATAGAGAAGACTGATAAAACTAAAAGATGGTTTTTTGAAAATATGAGTAAGAAAAATGAAACTAGTGAAACTTATCGAGACTTAAAAATAAAAGATTTAAAAATTTAAAAAATGACAAATACATACTAAATGTGAAAATCTAGATGAAATGGCTGAATTCTGGAAGAAAATACTAAAATTCATATAGGAAGAAATAGATAACTTGAATAGAACAGATAACTAAATGTTAAAAAACAAAACAAAACAAAACAAAAAGGCCCCAACCTCCTTTTAAAAGCAGCGGGCCCCTATGGTTTTGTAAAGTGAGTTCCACTAAACTTCCAAGGAAATTAATACCTGTTTAATATGAATTGTTTAAAAAAAAAAAAAGAAAAAAAACATATAAACTGACAAACTCCTTTTAGGAAGATTTTAATAAAATATCAACTCTAAATCTAGAGATGAGCCAAATAAAAAAATACAGTCTCATTTCACTTGCATAAATTCCAAATACTACCTAACAAAATCTAACAGTAGATTAAAGAGAAAAAAAAAAAAAAGAATATGCTATCATACAGAGCTTATCCCAGGGAAAGGAGGAATACCTCAACTTCAGAAAATGTACAAATATACGTCACCATGATAATAAAATGAAGCAAAAAACCAAAAAGGCTGATAATTTTGTCAACTGTGGATATTTAACCTTTCTTAGTTCCTTCAAAAACGTAACAAAATACTCTTAACCAAACCAGGAAGAAAAGCTACTTTCTCAACTTCGTACCTAAGTTACCTACCAAAAATTTTTAGCAAATATAACCTAAATGAGAAACTTTAGATATATTCCCTCTAAAAATGAAATCAGATAAGGATGGTCATGATGACTGATACTGGCTGATATAGTACCAGAAGTCTTAATCGATGTTAGAAAAAAATAATGACAAGTGTAAGAAATGGAAGAAAAGAGATGTAACAATTTACAAATGATATGGTCATGTAATTAAAAAAAAAACTTAACATATAAATGATTAGAGCTAATAAAAGGGCTCAACAAGGTTTCTGGATCTGAGATTAATCTATGGATATTCATTATTTATATAGTGCTTACTATTTACCAGGTACTATTCTAGGAACTGCAAATGTCCCAAGGTCAATCCTCTACTAAATGACAGTCTGGATTTAAACCCAGACACTTTTACCTTCTACACATGCAATACTAACTAAAAAAAAATTTAAAAAGTTAAAGATATCTATCGTTCATAATGAGAAAAAAACCCAACACCAAACCTATCAAGGATCTAGGAACTACTTAATGATATATATAAGACCTCTATGAAGAATGTAGAATTCTAATAAAGGACAGAAGAGGATTTAAAAATCTTGGATGGAACAGATGAATATTATAAAAATTTTTTCCAAATTGATTTATACAATCCTAATACGGAAAGAGTAAAATTCCACATCTTGCCAAACCAACTATTTAAACAGAAGAGTAGAGGGGCTCTTGGCCTACAAGATATTAACACATACTATGAAAGTTACAGAGTTTAAAATAGCGTGGAGTTAGTGTATTGGACAAATAGTCCAATGTAACAGAACAAAATTGAGAAACACAGCCATATAAAGTTTTAGAATGCAGTACAAAATAAAGTTAGCATATAAATCAATGGGGAATGATACATTTAGTACACAATATTGGTAAAGCTGGCCCATTACATGAAGAAAAATCAAATGTATACCTACATAATGCCACATACAAAGGAGGACTCATGTTGGATGAAAGGCCAAAATGAGAATGGTAAAACTATATAGTTAATAGAATATAATACCTGAATATAAAGTATTGTGACTTGGGGACAGGGAGACTTTTAAATAAAAAAACATAAAGCACAAGACCAAAAAATGATGAATTCAGTATCACATCAAAATTATTTCTGGATTGAACTAAAGATATCAAGAACTAAGTGAACTACAAATTCACAACAAAAAGGTAGCAACCTCCATAAAGAAATGGCTAAAACAAAAATATTCAATTTACAGAAGAGAAAATCAACAGGCCATTAGCCATATGATGAATAAAGAGTTATTATCACTTTACTGTATTTGGCAAAAATTAGAAGCTGGAGACAATGCCAACTGTTAGTGAGGAAACTAAAGGAATAGCCCCTGTAGGAACCAGTACTGCTGGTGATATTAGGGTCTGGGGTAATTTTTCTCGAGAAATTTGGCAGCAGTATTTAGTCAAACAATTTGCACATCTCATGATCCAGCAATTCTACTCTTATGTATATATAGTAAAGATATTCTCCATAAGACCAACATATATTCTGCTTCTAGGTTTCCATCATTGGGAGTGGATAAGCAAAATGTGGTGAAAGGACACTAGAAGTATACATAGCCACATGAATATACTAAAGGCATTAACTCTAAATGAAAAAAGCGGAAAGCAAAATATTAATATCCCACTTATGCCCATTCTATAGGAGTGATTTCCAAAATGAGTTAGTAAACATCTCTACTTTCAAAAACACATTGAGTTGTGCTAGTAAGGTCAGAGGGTATTGCTTCATGTCAATAGTATTCCTCTAAAGGACATTTCTCTGGCTTCTGCATATTCTTATTTAACTCTGTGGCACAAAATGTCTGACACATATAGCTTAGTAAGTTTTTTGAAAGAAAATGAGAGAGTGACAAAGGTCTGCTATAAGTAACTATACAAGCATGTTCTATATTTATTCTAGGGAGACAAAAATTCCCAAATTATATTCGGGCGATTTGGTAGTATGTTGCACAAAGTCAAACGAAACAATTTTTTTTTTTTTTAAAGCAGGATCAACAGATGATGCTACTAAAGCAATATAAAGGAACTGCTTATAACTTCAACTTTAAGAAGAAAAATGAATGCAAATACTTTTAAGTTTATATTACTACCCAGTTCAATGTGAAAACCAAAAGAAAACTCAAAACATACTCTAAGTCTTTAGTTTATTGAGACAGGAGAAACTGTTGGCTTTTAATTCTCCTGTCCTCCTACATTTTTACTATTTTCATTTCAACTAGATTCCATCTGCAAGATTATTAATTGGCTATACATCATTTATTGTGTTACTCAAAGCACTCTGTAAATGGCCCACTCCACTTTTTTTAGCAGAAATAAGAAAGTCTCTTTGGGGGCATATATAAATTCTAGAGTGAATCTACCACTGTTACTCCTTTACATTCCATGTGCATAATTTTCCAGCATCAAAACTGAATTAACCTATTCTGTATGCTCCCATGTATAATTTGCCTTTAAAGAATGATTTACCATGATTTCAGAACTAAATAGCCTTACCTTACAAAGTCTTTAGTTTTGTTATTTCCTCTTCAACTGAACTAAGTTTACCAAGGATAGGAAGAAATTCCCATAGTTGCTATTACTTGTTCATTTTTCCCACAAAGTCAAGAAACAGTAAGCTTTAAGGCAGTGATACTATGATGTTTAACACAGCATCTTTTTTTACCAGCTTTATTGAGGTATGATTGACAAGTTGTATATATTTACCATGTACAATGTGATGTTTTGATATATGTATATACCGTGAATTACTACAAACAAGCTAATTAACATCTGTAGCCCACAGTTACCATTTTCTTGTGTGTTGTAAGAACACTTGAGATCTACACTTGAGATCTACTCTCAGCAAATTTCAAGTATACATAAACAACAGTTGCTATACTATACATTAGGTCTCCAAAATTTATAACTCAAGGTTTTGTATTCTGTCCAACATCCCCCAATCTCCTTCATCCCACAAGCCACCGATAACTTGCATTCTACTCTGTTACTATGAGTTCAACTTTTTTAGATTCCACATATAAGTAGGATTATACAGTATTTGCCTTTCTGTGTCTGGCTTATTTCACTTAGTAGAATATCCTCCAGGCTGACCCATGGTGTAGCAAACTGCAGGATTTTCTTCCTTTTTTAAAAAAATGTATTTATTATTTTGAGAGAGAGACAGTGTGAGGAGGAGAGAAGCAGACAGAGAGGGAGACACAGAGTCTGAAGCAGGCTTCAGGCTCTGAGCTGTCAGCACACAGCCGGATGCGGGGCTCGAACTCACAGACTGAGAGGTCATGACCTGAGCCAAAGTCAGACACTCAACCGACTGGGCCACCCAGGTGCCCCAGGATTTCCTTCCTTTTTAAGACTGAAGAGTATTCCATTATATGTAAAGTGCATCTTTATCCATTAATCCATTATGGACACTAACGTTGTTTCCCTATCTTGGCTACTGTGACTAACGCTGAAATAAACACAGTACTGCAGATATATCTTTGAGATAGTGACTTCATTTCCTTTAGATATATACTCAGAAGCAGGATTGCTGGATCACAAGGTTATTTCTAGTTTTAATTTTTTGAGGAATCTTGACTGTTTTCTATAATGGCCATATCAATTTACATTCCCACCAACATGTATAAGGGTTCTCTTTATATCCTAACTAACACTTGTTATCTTTTGATTTTTTTGATAATAGTCATTCTAACAGTTGTGAGGTGGTATCTCATTGAGGTTTTGATTTGCATTTCTCTGACCATCAATGATGTTGAGCATCTCTTCATATACATGTTGGCTGTATGTCTTCTGTGGAAAATGTCTATTCAGGTCGTTTGCTCATTTAATTGGGTTGTTTTTTTGCTATTGAGTTGTTGGCGTTTCTTATGTATGTTGGATTTTAACCTCTCATGGGATATATAGTTTGCAAATATTTTCTCCCATTACAAAGGATGCTTCTTCACTTCATAATGTGTCTTTTTCTCTTTTTCTGATATAATGTTCTAAAAGTACTAAACAAAAACATGTTACATGTTAATCCTAAAAAAAAAAAAAAAAAAGCTAATCAGTTAGGCTGACCTCTGGTGGCCAGATGCCTCATCTTTCAGTATCCGACAACATGATAGGAAGTCATCTCTCATTTGTCGATTACCAAGTAAAATATAGTAGAGGAAATAATATTGTTAGAAACCTCACAGAGTAATAAAGGTAGCAAGCATCCAAAGTATAAAGAAAATTGAGCAATTAAAGGCTACAAAATAGAAAAATGTCTCCAAATACTTGTTATAATTTTTAGTTTACCAATTTTACATGAAAAACAAATGGTATATGCAGTGGTTCTCAAAATAAGAGCATAGTTCCACACGGTCCAATACTGTAGTCACTGGCTCCATGTGTCTACACAGCACTCCTGTGGCTAATGTAAAATAATACCGAATTTCAAAGACTTAGTAGGGAAATAAGAGAATGTAAATCATTCCATTGATAATCTGTTGGTTACATGTTGAAATGATATTTTGGTTATACCTGGCTAAAAAATTAATGCCCTTTCTGGGTTTCTCTCTCCACAGCTTTCCAGGCATTCTATACCTTTAGCTATAGTTAGATTATGTTAGCAGTGTGTCCATGAATTCATGGGCCTCTGCTTTTGCTCTAGCTGATTAATCTAAAACACTCATCCTTCTTGCCTTTTCAATAGACCTCTTGATAATTTTGAAATTACAGGCAACCCAATACTACCATATTTATTACTTTAACTGGCATTTGAATACCTATAGTGTTGTATGTATAATATGAAGAGAATGGATGAATAAATTATCACATATTCATACAAAAAATACTGCAGCAACCTGTCTGTGCTTTGGTTTCCTTACCTTAAAAGGAGCTAGAAGTTACCTTATAGGGGTTGTTTGTGAGGACTGAACTTAGTAAAGTGCTTAGAACAGTGTCTGGCACATAAGGGTCCATAAGGTATAAGTTATCATTATGAAAGTATTCATATGAATAAACCTCAAAAACAATACTAACTGAAAAAAAAAAGCAAGGTGCAAAGGATTTTTTTTTTGGCAAATGATTATATAATGTTAGAACATAAAAATAATACAGTATATTTATTCAGAGACTTACTCATATGTCTTTAATATATAAAGTTCAGAAAAGCCGTTAATGCTGTAGAGAGAATGTAATTCAATAGGAAAAAGGTATACAGGTGACTTTGTAATCTTCTTTATCTTAGCTGGCTGTGTGTACTGAGATGTTTGTTTTTGTCTGATATAATCCCCCTTTTTTTTCCATTAATTTTTTTAATGTTTATTTATTTTTGAGAGAGAGAGAGAGAGAGAGAGAGAGGTAAGGGCAGAGAGAGAGACACACACACAATTTGAAGCAGGCTCCAGGCTCTGAGCTGTCAGCACACAGACCGATGGGGGGGGGGGGGGGGCGGGGAGCTCGATCCCACAGACTGTGAAGATCATGACCTGAGCTGAAGTCAGACGCTTAACCGACTGAGGCATCCAGGCGCCCCCACCTTTTTTTTTTTTTTTAGTTTAAAGAGTCAGTTCCTGCTCGAAGGCACTGAAAATTTATCGTTACCACTACCCTAAACACCATCCCCTGTGTTCTTGGTTGAATACATCGCTGTTAGGCACCTTTGTAAACCAGGCCTCAAAAGCTGGAATAAGCTGGATCCAAATTAAATCGTGCCTCTCTCCGCAGCTCTTCCCAAACTGCGTACTTCTTGCAGACCCTCCGCCAGCTACCTAAGGGTTAAAATGACCGAGGCCCGCTTCCATCAGGGCACCACGTAACGCCCCCTCTGCGGAACAAGAACGTCTGCTTTCTCACTGGAAGCCCGGCCGCAGCTCAGCTTCCAGCACGCCCTTCTCGACAGAGCTCCAAAAGAACCCTTACACCTGGGATCCCCTGCTCTCCTTTAGCCGGAGAAGGAAATCTTCCCCTCAGCAGATTCCCTCTTCTCACCCATGGAGGATCCTTTCTTCTTTCTCGCCCCACGCCCAGCTGCACGACCCGGCTAGGCCTAGCACCACCAGCTCTGCCCCGACAGTCGCACCTCGGTTCGGCGAGCGGCCGATTTCACTTCCGGGCGGGCCAACGCCCCCTCCTCGTACAAACGCCACTTCCCTCTCGAAGACCCGCTGCAACGATTCTAAGCGCATGCGTCCAAACTGCCGTACTTGAGGAAGGTGGAGCCATCTCTTCCCGCTCTCGCGGCAGTCTCGCGGTATTTGCTTCTCCCGCGGGAGTTTTTTGAACGCTCTGGCGGTAACCCCACCCTCGGTGCTTAGCTGCCGGCTGACCGGAGCCTGAGGCGACCTTGGAGTTTTGTCCTGCAGTCCGTGGGGCCAGCTGTACCCCTGCGCGGACGAGGCTCGTCCCAGCCAAGTCACGGCGCCATGGGGGCGGAGAAGAAGCTGCTGTCGGTTAAGGAGGCCTTTCAGTTGGCGCAGCAGCCGCACCAGAACCAGGCGAAGCTCGTGGTGGCGCTGAGCCGCACCTACTGCACGGTAAGCACGGCCCCAGCCTCGGCCGCCGTCCCCCTGCGCTCCCGGGACCAGCCTCCCAAAGGGGTCTCCTGTGGGTGGCCCTTCGGATTCCAATCTTCGTAACCTTCCACACCCAGTTCTGAAAGGTCTGGAGACCTCCCCGAGGTCGTTCGCGCAGCCCCTCTTCCCTGCGGCCTCCGGCGCGGACCGCTAATTCTTTGTGAATTTGGAGAGCGACGTTTACGATCACCGAAGCGGCCCGGCGCCAAGTGCTGGGCCGCTTAGTAGATCCTGAACGTGGTTCGTGGGTGGTTGTTCCTCAGGTCACCGCCCACCTCAGGAAGGCCGACCGTCGGTCAAATTAATCACAGTTAAATTGAGTTGAATCACCAAATAACAAATTAACCCTTAGTACCTGGCTCTCCCTATTTATGTAAATACTGTTGTAGGTGGTACCCTGAGAATAGGACACTGAATTTTGGGAAAAGAAATTATCTTGAGGTCCAAGAAAAATTGTCAGTTTAATCGGGCTTAAGGATATGAGTGAGATAGGATGTGAAAGTTATATTAAAAGGAAATTGCCGTGGAAAAGGAAGGCTAACTGTGGTAAAATAAGAAAGCCACTGTTGATTTTGGGTTGTTTCAGGAAGAAGGTCTTTTTTTTTTTTTTTTTTTT